TTTTTTTTTTAAGATTTTATTTATTTATTTGACAGAGAGAGAGAGACAGCGAGAGCAGGAACACAAGCAGGGGGAGTGGGAGAGAGAGGAGCAGGCTTCCTGCCGAGGAGGGAGCCTGATGTGGGGGCTCGATCCCAGGACCCTGGGATCATGACCTGAGCCGAAGGCAGACGCTTAACGACTGAGCCACCCAGGTGCCCCAAGAGGCCAAATATTTTAAAGATATTAAAAAAAATTTAAGGGAGAAGCAAAGAGAATTTCTGACTCTGTGCTGAACAGTCCTGACCATAGCAGTAAGAAGCGTTTCTAGGAGCCTCTGGGCAGTCAGCTAGCAGTCAGCTAATTTAGAACTTAATATAACATCAGAGCACTATTTATCAATACTCTCAGCAGCAAAATAAGACTCCATTTAGGCTTCACAACCTGTATTTAGTATGGCAGGGGTTCTCCTCTATCCTCCCTGCAGAGCTGGTTCTAAATCAAGTAGTGTGTTAGACCAAAATATGGTTAGTTGGCTCAAAGATGCTTGGCTTCTGTTTTCCCCATGATGTGTTTGCCATATACCAAACAAGTGCCCTGGGCATCTAATCCTGATCAGTGAGAGAATGGCAGGATAAGATGACTGTGGTGGGAAGCCTGGCCCTGCCCTCAACAGCTGAGACCTAGGAGGCTTGAGGGTCATTCCAGGGGCTTAGCTATTTAATGGTCCAGTGGCAGACCATAGCCCAGCTGAGCCTATTGTCTCTTCTGCAGAGTGAGGATGAGTGTCCTACCACTACACCGGGCTGTGGTGGGCATCACTTGAGCACAGACTAACGTATTTTGTAGGGTATATATAAATATTAAGGTATATTATTAATGTTTTTAATTTTCTCTATTTCCCTTGGGCCTCCATCTCTTGTTTAGGTTGGTGTGCATTAGACTTCTAGTGTATTTCCACAAATGCCTCTTTCTCCCCTGCAATTAAATTGTACAATTTAGTTTGCCTTAGCAGCACAGGGAGTGCATTAGTTCTGGTGGTATGTGGCAAATTTAGAAATACTGACTTACCCAGATATCAAGGAAATTTGACTCCCTTTATAGGGATTGCTTCAATCAGTGTAATGAGAAATTCTTGAATTTTTCAGAATGGATTTTAAGAGAATGCCATCAGCCAAAAAGCAAGAATACATGAAAGTGCATGTAATTTTGAGGTGTTGTTCATATTTTAAAGTCTTTGGAAACATTGTCAACCATTATGTTTGAAACTCCAGGCTCCCATTCAATCCCAGGCTCTGTAGCTGACGAAGTTCTTGAGGAGATCCATTTTAAATGGTGTGCTCTGCTGAGCAGAATTCACACAATAGTAAGTCCAGCCCAACAGCTTGCTTTGTACAGAAATCAGACTTTCAGTCAAGAGAGCAAAATGCCTTAATCATGAGGCATTTATAAAAAGGATTATAACTACTTGCAGGGGTCCAAGAATTTAGAACTATTCTCTATTCTCTCCCACGTGTGTTTGACTAATAGAATATGCCAGTTCCTAGCAGGGCCATGTATTTTCTCGTTGCTGCTTTTATCATCAAGGTCCAAGTTTCCCACCAAAGTCATCGTGAGCTCCTGACAGGCCCCTGTGGCCGCCTCCGCCTCCAGCTCACAGACGCATGGCAGGCTCCCTTTGCGTCTCATTCCCCTTTCCCTTGAAACCACTGCCTTTGTGAGCCGCCCAGGATTCTCTCCACAGTTTAAGGTCTCTCCTCAGTGATGCTGGTGATAACTTTTAAAACCACTCTCTCCTTTGTTTCAAATTTTAGGGACACAGCAGGTCAGGAAAGATTTCGAACCATCACAACGGCATACTACAGAGGAGCCATGGTGAGTGTGTTTTAGGGTTTTGTAACTCTTCAGGTGAAAGTAAAACATGAATATTCATTTGTCAGGTTTCTAGGATCCAAGCTAGAGTCTAGTACAATGGGGGAGATAGGTTTTGGAATGTGAAAACAAGACATTTAAAGGGTTTTTCTATGTTGTGTTTAGTAACTGCATGCTTTGACATTGGTCTTTTGTAATATCCGTGAGGTAATTAGCTTATAGACATTTTGGAACTCCTCCACACTTTCTGAGCAATTGTATATCTTAGTGAAAGCTGGGAGACCAATTAAAGACAATGACAGTAATTCAGGTAAAGGCTAATAGACAAGAATATGAACAAGGCCGTGCATGGGAGTTGTGGGGTCAGAATCGGGAGATACTGTGGTTGTCGGGCCTACAGGACTTAGTGACTCCCTGGCTGTGAGGAGGTAACTCCCAGGGGTCTGCTTGGGCTGGCTGGCAGGGTTGTATTGCCCTTTATCAAAACAAGAGTACAAGGAGGAAGACAAGATTTGGAGGGGACGAAGGCAACCTTGTGTTTTACTTAGTTGAGTTTTTGGTGACCACACGGGACATTTGGGAGCTGATACCGGGTCATTGGTCTCCAAAGCACATCTGACCCTATCTCTCTTTTTGGCTTCACCTTGTGCCCTTCTCCCGTTGGATCTGTGCACTCTTACCACGCTGACTCTTTCAGTCCAGTGGGTTCTGGGCCGTTCTGGTCAGCAGGATACTTAAAACATTTCTGCTCTGTGCCAGGCTGAGAGCTGTGGGCACTGTGGGCTTTCCCTCTTCACCCCAGCCTCAACCCCATGGCCCAGTTCAAGTCTACTCAGACCTCAGGTCTTGGCTTTAATGTCATTTTTTCAGGGAAGCCTTCCCTGACTGCCCCATCCCCTCAGCCAGATTAGATCCCCATTTGTACTCAAAACTCCCCATACTTCTTCATAGCAGTTGTCAAAGTTATAACTAAGTGTATAATTATTGGTTTATTGTTTTCTTTGCTAGCTGTCCATGAGAGGAAGGGGCCTTGTCTAACTTGTCCACGGCTGGTAGCACAAAGTATAGTCTCAGGCACATGGTGGGTGCTCACTAAATATTTGTTGAATGGACAGACAGATGGCTAGGTCTAGCACTTAATACAGGAGTACGGTCTGGTGATACAGATTTTGGAATAGTTAGCATACAAGTGTCAGTTGATACATTTAGGAGATAGACCTTTTAGAAATACCAGACATGAGGGTCTTTAAAAATACGATGACAATCAGTGCCTTTCATTAAACCTGTATAATATTAAGTTTCTGCGATTTATGTAGACAGTGGCATTTTGATCAGCCCATATAAGAAAAAATGATTTTATTTTTTTAAGGATAAAAAAATAATTTTAAAGCAGTATGGTTACGATCTTAGTATAGGAGTAAGAAGCAAGACATTTCTACTTGCAATAATAAAATACACAACGGAAGTGATTATCTCTCTCATCACTATCTCTGTTTTAACTTAAACACACCTTTAGCTTCATTTGGTGCTGATTCTTACCATGTGCAGTCAGGTAGAAGGGTGTATCACCTTTACCATAATCACTAATTCATTAAAGGTTAACAGTAAAAAAAACTATTTACATGGTGAGACAGTGGAAGAATTTATCTATTTTTCCTTCTTTGTACTTTAAAATTTTTATTACAAGTCCCTTTTAATTAAAAAGACAAAATAAAGGACAAACAAAAGGTTGGGTTTTGGAGGGTGGGAATATGCTGACATTATATTCTATAACTTTAAATATATGACTTACTAAATAAAGATTTTTCTTACAGGGAATTATGCTGGTCTATGACATCACAAATGAAAAGTCCTTCGACAATATTAAAAATTGGATAAGAAACATTGAAGAGGTATGTATGGAAAGAGAATGATGATACTAGAGAGGAGTCCTGCTGGGTGCTTGCAGAGGGCTCCTTCTGTCTCTGGAAGAGGCAGCTGAGCCGCTGAGAAGTAGGCCAGGGGCAGGTCAGGCCCCCTCACTCTGAGGAGCATGGACGGAGTGATCTCTGGTGCCTCTGTCAGACGGGGAGCTACACACAGAGGAGCAGTCTCACTGAATTTAAAACTTGGGCTGGATCTTGAAAATAATTTAATCAAGTCCCCATTTTACGCATGAGAAAACTGAGGCCGGAAAGAAGAGACTTGCTTGTGCTCCTCTAGCTTTAACATCTGACTTACAGCTTCTTGCTTTCTGACTGGCAAAGGTCTCTCTCTATTCCAGCAACTTCTCATTTTTCCTTTCTAACATTTTCTCCATTGTAGATAGTTGAAATTTGGTTTAATTCCAGATTGACTAGTATTAAGATTTTTTTTTAATGTCTTTGATATTTCAGAAAGAAATCTTTTTTTTTTTTTAAGATTTTATTTATTTATTTGACAGAGAGGGAACACAAACAGGGGGAATGGGAGAGGGAGAAGCAGGCTTCCCGCGGAGCAGGGAGCCCGATGCTGGGCTCGATCCCAGGACCCTGGGATCATGACCTGAGCCAAAGGCAGACGCTTAACGACTGAGCCACCCAGGTGGCCTAAGAAATCTGACTTTAAAATCATTTTGTACACATTTATATTAACCTACATGATTTCATGTTTTAAGTAGCTCAGAATCCAGAATACCTTCCTCATTGGCTCACTCAGTACTGTTTTTTCCTTCTTTGACCCAAACTAATCTTTGGAAGTTTTACTTCTGTTTGTTCGTGTACAAAAAAAGCCATGAGAATGACTGCAAGCCTTTGGGAAAAAGTTTGCATAGGCTCTTATGCAAACTTTTCCCTCCTCCCATCTTTTAAATTTTTCCCTGCATCAAGCCTTGTGTTGAGCAAAAGATTATTTGTCTTATTATTAAATTTATGGATATGTTTCTGACAGGTTAGGATTTGTCTATTGAATAACTGTGTTTTGCTCAGGCTGTTTTTATAACATATTATTTTCTCCCTGCAGCATGCCTCTTCAGATGTTGAAAGAATGATCCTGGGTAACAAATGTGATATGAATGACAAAAGACAAGTGTCAAAAGAAAGAGGAGAGAAGGTAAATTTGAACTGAATGCATGAAGATGGGAATCTATTCACACTAAGCATTTATTTTCTTAGTATTACTTAATTAATTGACTTCAGTTTGAAAAATATCTGTATTTTAATCCTTTAAAAAAAACAACAAAGAGATGTAATCCATACTTGCTTGAATGGTGTGAATTAGTATTCGGGATCCAGCTCCATATACTGTGTAGTCATGACTCATTCCTGAAGAATTTGCTGTTTTCTGGGAGATACAAATTAGTCCTTTTTCAGATTCCTGCAGCTTAGAGTTCATGCTATTTCATCCATATCTGTGTGAAAATGCCTAGTTATAAAGGTCAAGTAAATCATTCTCTTCAAATAAAAGTAATCGGATAGGTGAAGTTTAAACAGTAATCATATTCCAATTCATTATTTTTTTCTTAAGAATATTTTATACCATATTAGATTTAGGTCATTATGGATAAACTGCTTGTAACTCATCAAGCTGTGGATGTCATTTATAGGCTTTTCTCTATTTTGTATCCTGCAAAAAAAGCAAGAGTTTATTACATGTACATATTTACTTCTGTGACATTTTCTAAATTAACTTAGAGGCTTCAGTTTTTAAGTCTTGGAATTTTGCTTTAGCCTTTTTTTAGTGATGCATACAAAATGTGTTTTGTTTTTAAATCTGACTGCAAACTTTTTTCCCCTAAGAACATTCATTTAATCTTGTTATTTTAAATAAACTGGGAGCTTTTTGGGAGTAGATGGAAATAGAAACCAAATAAAAATGAAAGCAGTGAGTACTTGGCATTTTAAGCTTTCATTCTTTTATGTACCAATTTATTAAAAAATAATGAAAAGTCAGTATAGTAACTGTTGGAGAGTTGTACTTTGGGAGCAGGTGAAAGGGGTCAGTGAATTCCAAATTAATGGTAGGAGCGAGTATCTGTCTCACGATTTTTCTTGTAAGTATATTAGAGAACTAAAGTATAATAGAAAAAAAAAGAATAACTTAAGTCATGTTTTGAGTGGAAGTGCTGCCGTTCTACTTATGATGATTAAGTTAGATGTCTACATTTCAAACACAGAAGAAAGCAAAGAAATTTGAGAACCACAGAGTGAGTTCTCAACTAGATCCTCTACCTTCGGGACTATGAACAACCTAGAAAATGGAAATGCTTTATATGTTGAAGCAACTTGAATGGAATTTAAATGTTTCTGTTTGCCTTTCAGTTAGCAATTGACTATGGGATTAAATTCTTGGAGACAAGTGCAAAATCCAGTACAAACGTAGAAGAGGTAAGAAAGATGTTCGGTGACCTATTCTAGGGAGCATTAGAGCTTAGCTGCCTGTGTTCAAGCAGCTCTCCAAGACTTGTCATTTTCTTAGTGAATGCCTTCTGTGAGCTCCACCTCCATTTTGTGAACTTTCGTGCTTCTGACTTTTATGCAGACCCAGGTTCTTGAATTTCTAGCACCCAGCCCCCACGTGGGCTATATGAGATTGCTCAATTAAGATTCACTGAGCAGAAGGTAGAAGTTCCATTCAAGTTCAGCTTTGCCCTTTGTTCAGGAAGCCAGAACTCCTGCACTTGCCGACCAAAGCACAGTGTTTTCTGCTCATTTATCATGGTTCATGTCATCCTATGGTAGCTTGTAGCAGGAGAATCTTAATTCCTTTCATGTCTGTACTCTCTCAAGAGAGAATTAAACTGATTATTGAACAGATTCCCTTAGATTAAACATGATACATTGTAACACAACAGCATTTAGTAGAAATAAATGTGTTTATCAGAGAGTAGTTTTAATAAATTTTCAGTAAGTGAATTATTAAAGACAACCAAATCATCTAAAGTCTTCTAAGAATAGATTTTCTTTACCAAGGGCAGAGTTGTTGATAATATTTTCTTTTTTAAAAACATTTTTTAGGGACTCCTGGGTGGCTTAGTTGGTTAAGGGTCTGCCTTTGGCTCAGGTCATGATTGCAGGGTCCTGGGATCGAGTCCTGCATTGGGCTCCTTCTGCTTGTGCGTGTACTCTCCCTCCCTCCCCCGCTCTCTCTTTGATAAATAAATAAATAAATAAATAAATAAATAAATAAAATATTTTTTAAACTGGTTGTAAAAATGATGCATGTGTGGGGGTGCTTGGGTGGCTCAGATGGTTAAGTGTCTCCCTTTGGCTCAGGTCATGATCCCAGGGTCCTGGGATCGAGCCCTGCATCGGACTCCTGGCTCAGTGGGAAGCCTGCTTCTCCCTCTCCCTCTGCCTCTCCCCCTGCTCATGCTCTTTCTCTCTCTCTCTCTCTCTCTGTATCTCTGTGTCTCAAATGAATAAATAAAATCTTTTTTAGAAAATGATACATGTGTGTTAATACATATCATTCAGTAAACAGTAATATTGATGGTTTTGTAGACATTTAATTTCTTAGGCTACCACCATTCACCATAACATTATGGCTAAAAAATCAAGATTTAAATGACTTTATTGGTTAGGGGACACCGATCAGAACTTTTTCTTTGTTTTCAATAACTAATTTTTTCAGGTTGGCTAATGGGTGTTAGGAAACAGGAAGCTTCTGTTGATTTATTTACACAGTCATAGAAGAGCAGAAAAATGCTTCCTTTTGCTTTGCCCACAAGAGGATTTCCTTCCATCAGAAAGAGGGGAGCCTCTTAAGTAGAAACAGGAGAAAATTTGTGCACTGAAATGACCCAGGTAGGGTCGCTCCCACAAAGTGAACCCATACCCTGGCTTAATGGAGCAGGTTTAAGCCTCTGTTCATGGCTACACCCCGATTGAATCTGTGGCTCACAGAGAGCTTTGAGTTATGGAAGTACAGAGCTGGGAGTTGCCCGAGCTGCTTATTCTGACCAGGTATTCGGCAGAAATTAGCAGTTTTCCCAAAACTTTAATTTAGCGTAGTTAGCTTTTCATAAAAGCTGGGATGGGCTTCTTTAGAAACAGATTCACAGATGACCAGTGTTGACAGTGCAACATTGATAATAAGTGATGATGGTGATTATCATGTTGTTTCTATTCAACTTGATTGGACATAATCCTTCTGCCTAACATCTTTGGGGGGCATCAGAAGTCGTTGGGAACAAAGAGACTGACAATTGTGTGTTTAGCATGGAGACAACTGAAGACTTTTTTTTTTTAAGATTTTATTTATTTGACAGAGCACACAGTGAGACACAGCAAGAGAGGGAACACAAGCAGGGGGAGTGGGAGAGGGAGAAGCAGGCTTCCCGTGGAGCAGGGACCCCGACCTGGGGCTCGATCCCAGGATCCTGAGATCCTGACCTGAGCTGAAGGCAGATGCTTAACGACTGAGCCACCCAGGCACCCCCCGAAGACTCTTTAAAAAAAAGAGTCTTGGCTCTGTAGAGGGGGACCTGGCTGGGTCAGTCAGTGGAGCACACAACTCTTGATCTTGGGGTTGTGAGTTCAAGCCCCATGTTGGCTATAGAGATTACTTAAAAATAAAATCTTAAAAAAAAAAAAGTCTTGGTTCTGTAGAAACAAAGTAGAGATGATAGGTTTAAAAAATGTTTTGTTGGGTCAAGACACCTAGGCACAAAATGTCACTGAGATCAGATTTGTCCTTCTATTTGAGCTAATTTCCACAGTGGGGAATTTAGCTGAGCTAAGACATAGAAGATGAAAAAACTCTCAGGTACAAGAGTGAAAGTATTTTGAAAGAGAAGAGATTGGGGATAAAAGGTAGAGATTTTTGTGAAAACAGATTCTAGAGCTCTAGAATAATACATAATTATTCATCCAGTTATTAAACAGGTATTCAGCATATCCAAGATAAGACACTGTGCTCTGCTCTGAGGACCTGGGGTGACCTAGAACCTCTGCGCCCCCCCCCCAGGTGCTTTTGGTGTACTGAGGAAGCTACCTATAACTCAAGAGTGTCACATTAGGAATTTGTGCCAGAGATTATGTGCAGAAAATATTTGATGAATGAATGAATGATGTTTTTTAAAATTTTTACTTCTTTATTTTAGAGAGGGAAAGAGTGTGCATGCGTGAGCAGGGGGAGGAGGAGAGGGAGATAATCTCCAGCAGATCCCGCACTGAGCGCAGAGCCTGACCCGCGGCTCAGTCCCCCAACCCCAAGATCACGACCCAATCTGAAACCAAGAGTCGGATGCTCAACCAACTGAGCCATCCAGGCGCCCCGTGAATGACAGTTTTATAATACTGGAAAGTGTTTATGATATCATTGAAAAATAAGATAAAATACTCAAGTGTATACTACGATTACAGTTATGTTCTTTTCTCAATTAAAAAGTGTCAAATAATGTTTTATAATGAAATAATGAAAAATTCTACATTTCTATTTTAAAATATAGACATATATTAATAATTTTTTTGGTTTACCTTTAGGCATTTTTTACACTTGCACGAGATATAATGACAAAACTCAACAGAAAAATGGTTTGTATCACTTACAATTTTTATTTTCATTATGCTATTTGTTAAATTTGTTCTATTTTTGCTGTTTATTTATTTGAATAAAAAGGATAGGCCTGATTATAACATATTCACATTGACTCATTTTTTTCCTGACTCACGTATTCACCTGGTTGAATTTTGATTCTTACTTCTGTTTCTTCAAGTTTCTTACTTCTGTACTGCGGCTGCTTCCGTTCTTTCATCTGACTCTGTAGGTGGTCTTTAATGGAATTCTGACCAGAATAATTAAAATAATAATGGCACAAATTTAATTTTTGCCATAAAATTATCTAGTTTAGTTTTAATGTGACAGATATTTATCTCTATATATAATTGTGATCATAAAGTTGCTAAATTCGCTTAAATTAGAAATGATGTCAGTGATGAATCATTAGGCCCACCTGGAAAGTTTGTTTTCACCAGAATCCTGAATATAATTTTAGACCTTACATTAGCAACTGTTCTTACCTCTGGTAAGAGGATTGCCTATATCAGTATCTTAACATTGTTGCCATCATTACCCTTGAAACTTTCCACTCCATTGGCTGTAATTTCTCTGAACTGGAAATAGGAGCTTCCCATCTAATACATTATTAATATAAAAGGTGCTATCCTAAAAAATATGTTTCTCATTTTAATCCACCATTTCCAAAGATACAGATGACATCAGAGCCTGACGAGTTCCCTTTCTAATAAAATACTCTACTGAATACTTATTTGTGGTGTGGTTTGATATTTGTATGTTTAGATAATTGGAATCAAACCATGAAACTTTTACTTCCTTGGTAACTTCATCTGCTCTTTTTTAGAATGACAGCAATTCATCAGGGTCGGGGGGACCAGTGAAAATAACAGAGAACCGATCAAAGAAGACCAGTTTCTTCCGTTGTTCGCTACTTTGATGAACTCTTTCTGAGAGACTGCAGCACACCTAAAGGACCCTTTCCTGCTTCTCTGAAAGCACAGGTCAGCCAGCCTCAGAGTCACACCGCCCGGCTGCCGCTGAGAGCACCACTGAACCTCGACTTCTCCACACAGAAGGCCACGTGCATTCCAGCCTCATGGCCTATCAAGATAACAGGCTCTTTTTTTCAAACATGGAAGCAATGAAGTGGAGACATACGGAGGACTTAACTTGTTTTTCCTTGGTTTGTCCCAGAAGCTGCTACCTTTTCTTTTTCACTTTGCACATCAGTGTTAGCCTGTCCCTGCTACACCACAGTTTCAGACTCATATTTGCACACTTATGCCTCATGAATTCGAGACAAATTTGTGCGCTTGGGATGTTTGAAAAAAGTAAAACATTTAAAGCAGAGGTTAACATACTAAAAAGATATGGTCTGGGTCATGTGGCCAGATGTTATTGCATTGATAGAATTTTTTAAGGGCTCTAATTTGTGATTTCCTTAAATAAGAATTGCTAAATTCTGATAAAAGTGATCTTAAAAATTCATTAAAAAATGTCCATCTTTTCGTCAGAGGCCACAATTCCTTTATTTCTTCGGATTGTTTAGAGTTTTGTTTCATTCCTGACCTTTTTGCTGGAGAGTTTGGGTAGCTGAATAAGTCACTTTTTCAATTGATTACCTCTCTCTGATCAATAGAAGCTACATTTGGAAATCACCTTAATCTTGCATTTCCTGGGGTTTGTATTTACTATTCTTGCCTATGTATGACCTATTGTAACCATGCCGTTATCAAAAACAACATATTTGAACATTGTTGTCTGTTTCTAATTGTGAACTTCTTGAGCTGAAATTTTACATAGGCAGAAAGATGTACCATTTAAGTCTTATTTTAGCATCTTATTGTGGTTCTGTCACATCAGCAATGTAATAGATGCAGTGTATTTTTTCTTAAGTTCACTCTCCAGCTTGCTGGCTTTATTTGTAATACCCAGTCCCTACTGTGATCCCTGTCTGCAAGAGTCAACAAGTATTAGATTTAGATTTTTGTCTGTAGAAAGCTTACCTATAGGGAGAGAGATTAACTTGTTGATATAAATGTAATAGAGATAGCTCTTGGTAATGGTGAACAGAATGATTTTTTGTTCTGTTTTTTTATTTGGACTTTTTTCTTTTTTTTTTTTTGAACAAAGGTAATCAGACCTAGTGCAGCCTCTAGGTAAAGTCTTGCCTTTTCGTTAGAGAAAATAGGAGCAAGGTTTCCATTTTAAAACAGCTGTTGTTGAATGCGTAGGACCCAGTTCCATCTGTTCAGGTTTGTGTTCTAGAACTCGGTCCAGGCATTTGGGCCAAAGCCAACCAAAAGCTTAGCTGCCTTTCTCACCAGACACTGGTACTGGTTATACCTTTTGTAGATGAAACCTTCACATAAGGAAAAAAAAAAGCTGTTTAGCGTTAACTTATGTGCCAAATTCAGATCATCATGTTGTTGTTATTCTAGCCTTCAGTGTCGTAATACGGAAGGGAGTAATGAATAGGTGATTAGGGAAATGAATTCTGTCAATAATTATTCTTCCTGTTAGGCCTTTTTTGTTTCGTGAAGGTTACCATCATGCTTGATAGTTGAGAGTGAAGATGAAAATGGAAATGGATTGCTTGTTACCACAGAGCATCCTGCATCAGATTAAGACGTAGCATTAGAATGCTTGGACCAGTCAAACGTTTACTACTTGTTTGAAAACTTATGTACAGTTTAGCAGCAGCAAATATACCAGAACGATTTCTGATGGATACACTAAACTTAATGTTGACAAATTTCAGCCTTCTTGATTTTTTTTTTTTTTTTTGTACTTACCTCTAGGCCTACAGGCACCTGTTGGCGTCCCCGTATAATCAGTAGTTGCTTGATTGAAAGTTGGTTGTACATCTACCATTTTAAAATTAGATACATTTTTGGAAAGAAAAAAATAATTTCTTAGAAACAGCTTGTATTTACTAATTTTCTGAAAAAGATCCAAGCAGTTACGCTTTCTGAATGGTAACGAAGTACTTTCTAAAAGGCAAGTGCTATGACACCATGTATGAATGTAATTCTCCTAGTAATTTACCTCTGACTATTTGGTGTCTTAACACTTTGGTTTCTTTCTCAGGGGTTGTCTGCAAACCAAAACTGACATATTCTGTGGTTAGCTTTTTTTTTTTTTTTTTAAACACATTGCTTTGCTTTTGTTTCATTCCTTCTCTCTTCCTTTGTCTTATGTGAGTTAATAATTAGTCTCCGTGAACTTCCCTTTGAAAGAGCCTGTAAAAGTTAGATGAGTCTAAAAGTGCTCTTTGAAGTAGCAGCAATTTGGGGGTATATGCTCTGTTATATAGAAAAAAATCATCCTTGCTATTTTCTTACATTTAGCTTTGCTAAATTGTATATAATTTGAGCTAAGACCATAGGAAATTCACTTTCTGCATGGTAAAATGACCCAATAAATATTCCACTTTGCTTAATAATGTACATATAGTGCATTATTTTTTCTATTTGTAGATGAATTTAGTGACAGATAATTGTCTGTTCCCTGCTGAAACTGAAGAAATCTAGTTTTGTGTGAACATGTTTGTGGTCTTATGGATAAGGTACATGAAGACTTTCGCAGCAGTATTCGTGGTTCAGTTGGCTGCACTTTATTATCAGTGTGCTAATTTTTTGACAATGATTGGACTAGACCTTTTCACCTAGAGTCTGAGGATATCAGACACTGAAAATGTGCTGTAACTCAGTAGCATGTAAACCAGTTGATTGTAAAACGTTTCACTGGGAATTTATTTTAGCTATGTTTTACTTCATACAGATTATGAGAAAATAATCCACCTGTGCATTGGTTAGGAGGTGCCGCAGGGTTTCTTACTATTTACATGAACATTTTGTGCAGTCTTTGTTATAAATGTTCAGAAGACTATACTCTTTACTTTGAAGGACTATTTTTTAATTATACCTCATTTAGCTAACTAGTATTCTAATACCTGGTAGAAAACTGGTGAGCCAGCCTTTAAGCATCCAACACCATTTAGATTATATGTTTTGTTTTGGACTAAAGACATCATTGGAAAAGTAGGAGATAGTTTACTCTAGACTAGAACATACATGTCATATCCACTAGTGCAAACAAGGTATGATCTCCCTGTCTCCATTAAGCAATTTAGCTGTGCAATATAGATGAACGTTTGCAGAAATTTCTAAGAGATTATAACTCCATTTTACAGATTCTGAATGCTAAGAATCTGTATTAAGACTTATAAAGTTTTTCCTGTGAACAGTAAGTGATGCATTTAAGCAGATTTTTTTTTCTAGTTCATGACTTAGCTTTCTTTATAAATTTAGTACTTAATCTTTAAAGATGAGCTTCTAAGCTTCAAATTTTAAAGCAGCATTTCATTATGTTGGTTTCCTTATCTCAGATTTTAAGCACTCATTTCTGCTGTCAGGTTTTTTAGAATTTTTCTTTTAAGAGAAAGGACATTCCTTTTTCCCTTCTTGTTATATCCAAAGAAGGGAGGGAAATGGAATGTCCAAAAAAAAAAAAAATGAAATTCCTTGTCCTAGAGGGAATATGCCAATAAAATTTTTAATCCCAACACAATTTTACAGAGAATCAGTCTTTTTTTTTTTTTAAGATTAATAAAATTAATGGGAGTCCTGTTCAGTATGAAAAAATCCTAAATGACTGAAATTTACAGAAGTGAAAATCAGCAAACAATTATTTTAGGGATATTTTCAAATTTTACTTCGTTTTTTGAAATGCTTGTGCCATATGTGATTGCGTTTCTTATTGCCAAGAACTAATAGAACTTCTTGTTTCATTTTCTTACCTTTTTAAAAATGTGAACTTAATTATTATAATTCATTCCTACAGCCTTACAGATGGGTTTTATTTTGTTTGTGGCTGACACTGCAGTTCCTTCAGGGCAAAATGCCATAAACTATTTGACTAAAATCATGCCCCTAATGGGAAATACCTAGTTTTTCCATAGAATTATCCTTCTGTGTAGGTTTCAGCGTATTTTATTTTTGCTTCAACAGCTTAATGTGAAAAGTTCCTGCAGATAAAGTGAACCTGTCATGTGGTTAATCTTGTTTAAGCCAATTCATTAACTGTATACTGCTACTGATGCTGTGGTTTGTTTTGTTTTGTTTTTTAAATGGATTTTATTCCAGGTGAACTTTTTTTTACAATAATGTTCGTCTAAAATAAAAACTACATAATGAAAATGCTCATGACTCTGAAATGAATCGCACATTTAAAAAATGTTTCTTCAGATTTGCTAAGTGTATGAGTCAAACCGCGGTAGGCTTGAGATACTTTAGAAACTTAATCTGACTTGGAATTGTTTAAAGACTCAGAAAAATGGCTGGATCTCCTGCTCATACCTGTTCAGAATACATTGAGCTGATTCTGTTACAGAACTGCAGCCTTAAATTGATCGTCCTTCCCTTCTTAGTCCTCCCAAGTTTAGTTTCTGTTGTTTGGTTTTTTACTTCCAAACACCACAGATTGAGGCCCCAGCTCTGTTGCTGTTCTCCCACAATGCTTGTGCATGTTCCCGGTCGTAGCCTTTTGCGTTCATCCCACCACCATTTTGAACCTTCACTGTTCTCAAGCTTCCCACTTCTCTCCCTCTACTCTTGGTAGACAGGTCTTTCACCTCCTGCCTCTCAGAGAAAAGCACCAGTCAAAAACAAGGTTCTTAGCCATCTCTTTTTCCCTAATCCATAGCCTACCATGGGCCGGCACCCAACGCCACCCTCATCCTCACTCCTTCCTTTTGGGGCAGAGGCATCCCTTCTCTTCTATGCCTTTCTCACCACGGCCTCTTCTCTGCACTCAACCTCCCACCTCTGCCCTCCAGAGAACTCGCAGCTCTTTCTCTTCCACCTTCACACTCTTATCCCATGTTACACCCGTCCCCTCAGCATCTAAGCACCCATAATGCTCCAGCTGTTGGCCTTGTGTCTCTCTCACCTATTGCCCTTTTTCCTCTTCTTCCTGTTGTAGCTAAGCTTCTTCAAAGAGTTGCCTACAGTTACCATCTTCACTTTTTCGTTTTTCGTTTATTCCTCAGCCTACTCCAGTTTGGCTTCCCCTCCAGGCCCTTCACTGACATTGGGCTTACAATGGCCTAGTTGCTCAAGTAGCAGACAATTTTCAGTCCTTATCTTGGTTAACCTCTTGGCGGCATTTGACCAGTATATCTCTTCCTCCCAGAAATGTTCTCTTAGCTTCTGTGACAGTATTCTCCTGATTCTCCACTTTTCTAAAAATAATTTCATCCTTTTTCAAGACTCTTAAATGCTCATAACTTCTGTGATCAGCTGAATAATGGCCCCCAAGCATGTTCGTGTCCTAATCCCTGGAACCTATGAACATTGTTCTACATAGCAAAAGGAACTTCACGGATGTGGTCAAGTTAAGGCTCTTGAAAGGGAGGATTGTCCTGGATTATCAGAGCAGAGGATATGTAATCCCAAGGGTCTTTATGGGAGGGACACAGGAGGACTTGGAATCAGAAGGAAACCAAGGGAT